TGAGTGTGGGCCTGGTGTCATTCATCATGTTAGGGAGTCGTTTATCAATAAGGGCAGGTTTCCAAATGGCTGGCAGGTGGGACGTATCGTCCCGCCTGTTCATGCTGTGTGGGCATTTTTCTATCTCGATGGCTTCTCTGATTATTCTGTTGTTAAAGGACATAAAATTGACTTTAAAAAGACCAGAACTATTGCCAAGGCTGAACATTTTAACAACACACTCGCCCAAACATATATTGTCAAGCCTGAATTTTAAGTGGATGTGGGATTGTTTGCTAATCATGTTCTTCAATACATTCTTCAATTCAGTCTTTGTCAACAGCAGTGATTGCTGCCCCACATTCCTAATTGTATCACAACTATTGCAACTATCTACTACAAAGTGATATTATTGATATTGTAATACTACATATCACAGTAGATAACACTGAAATGGCACTACGCAACCTAAAGCCATCTGTATCTATTGGCCCTGATGGATTATGTGCCTACTTCTTAAAAAAGCTTGTCTCTGTCACAATCTATGCACAATCTTCTATGCACAATCTGTGAGGCATCTTTCAGAACCAGCTCCTTGCCCAACCTATGGTCATTAGCCACACTCATACGTATCTTTAAAAATGGAGATCCTAGTCAAGTAGAAAATTATAGACCGATCTCATTGTGTTGCATGACCTGTAAAGTCATGGAATCAATTATAAACCAATCCATCACCCGCCACTTAGAGAAAAACAACCTGCTTTTTAGCAAACAGTTTAGTTTCAAAAATTGTCTTGTAATCTGCACCTCCTACACTGCAGAAACATTTGGACCACACATTTTGACTAGGGTAAAGCAACAGACACAATTTATATAGACTTCAGCAAAGCCTTTGATTCAGTGGTGCGTAACAAACTACTGTCAAAACTAAGCTCTTATGGCATTTCCAGATCCCTGCGCAAGTGGATAACCACATTCCTGTCAAACAGGCAACAAGAAGTCAAAATAGGGAGGGCCCTATCAAACCTGGCACCAGTCAACAGCAGGGTCCCCCAAGGCAGCGTTTTAGGACCCACACTTTCTGCTTTACATAAATGACCTCTGCAATCATAGTATAAGCAACTGTGTCCTCTTCGCTGATGACGCCAAATTATTTAATACCACCGACAATACTGTTGCCTTACAAAGAGACCTCGACTATGTGTCAGAAAGGTCGTGCAATTGGCAACTCCAAATCTCAACTAATAAATGCTCTGTCCTACACATAGGCAATAAAAATCAGAACACCAAATACAAGTTGGGCGGAAACGATCCTCACTCTGTCAAGGACCTTGGAGTACTCATCTCTAATGATCTAAGCCCCAGAGCTCACTGTAACAGCATTGCCAAAAAGGTATTAAAAGTTGTTAACCTAATTTTGCGAAGCTTCTTCTCCAGCAACACAGTACTGCTACTAAGGCATAAAAAACCTTTGCTAGACCATTTCTCGAATACAGCTTGTTTGCCTGGAATGCACACTGTATTTTGGACATTAATACAATCGAGCATGTTCAGAGGTGTTTCATGAGAAGAGTACTCCACTCCTCTGCTCATAATAGTATCCCTTATACCACCAGGATCGAAATTTTGGGCTTGGATAATCTGGAACTGTGCCACCTGCGGTCGGACCTAAGCATAGTACACAAAATTGTCTTCTACAATATCCTACTTGTCAACCACTACTTCAGCTTCAACCACAATAATACATAGGCAAACAATCGATACAAACTCAAGGTAAACCGTCCAAATGCTCTATCTGACTCCATTATTACATCCTCAAACCCTCACAGCTTCAACCTTAAACTGTCTACTGTACACCTCACCCCATTTCTAAGAGGTCCATAAAGGGGATGTGCATAAGCGCACCAGCATGCCTACCATCCCTGTCCTACTATCCCCATTTATTTGTATTCATTTCCTTTGTGCATGTCCATGTTCATACTTATACTTGCTATCTTGTACATGTTTGACAAACTAATAAATAAAATAAAATTATGATTTATCAATTGTTGTAGCTTATGATTTATGTCCGACACGTATATTCACCTTCATTCCTGATTTATGATCTATGACTTATCACTTTGCTATTTGTATGTGTGCCCTGAGAGCTTATGCACTGGACACAAATTCCTTGTGCGTCCGGTCACCCTTGGTCAATAAATACTATTTCTTAATGGCGGCCCAGTTTTGCAACGTTCAAAATTCCAACGTTGAAAAAAAAACAATGATCAGTCCTTTCACTTCACAACATCCCTGTAGTCACAAGATTGAAATTCAAGCATTTTGCAACCAGCCGCTGTTTGCCATCATTGCAGTGTCCTGCAGTCAAGCAATCATCATTCACACAGTTCTTACAAGGCAGCTTCCAACAAGCAGATTAAAAGGAATAGCCTACAGTAAAATTGCAAGTCACACTCATGTGATGTCCCTCTTAACAACCATACCACATAGCCATAGAATTGCTAGTCCTAACTGTGGTCCTTACGCAAGGAATCCCTATAGATTAGAATTGCCATACTGATACCGCCCAACTAAAAGCTTTTCTCAACATTTCAGCAGGACTGATTTACTTGTTGCCTCTTGCATAAACAATGCTAATTTTACTAGACAGCTAAGATAGCTAAGACATACAACTGCTTGCTCATTCTCTTTGCTCACTGGGTTTTGTTAGATTAGTTGTTCTCATCTACAGATTAGTTGTTCTGTAGTTCTCATCTACAGATTAGTTGTTCTCATCAACAAAGTGTACCTCAGCAGTTGTTTTAGAGGTAAAATTAAAAAAACAGTGCCATGTAAGCTGTTTTGAGTGGGTCAGAAACACAAAAAGAAATAACGTTGGGAAAATATTTTGTGACTACATTTTCTGTTGATTTAAATAGCTAAAAAAAGAATCATTTGTTTCTCCATGACTTCTGTTTCACAACAGTAGTAAGTAGGAATGCAGTTCTCAAGAAGGTACTATTTCATCTTGAGCAAAAGGGGGGAAAAAAACATAGCTTAACACAGAGATTATTTAAGCCATTCAGGATAAGAAACAAAGATCAATTGTTGACAATCTGACCTTATATGTATTACTTGAACTGACTCACCAAGAATGAAACGTACTTCTGTTATCCAGTTGGATGAATATTCTGCATAATTAGTTAAACTCCGGCCTTGCAAATACCCATTATATGAGCAGAATATAAATGCTGACACAAATGAAAAAAGTGGTGTTGATTTTCCTCCACGGATTAAGAAAGGAAAGATGAATGATCTGGAACATGAAAAATAATGTTTTTACTTAATTGTAATTTCGAACATTGCAGAAATATACAGTAATTCACCCTTATGCACAGGGATATTTTCAAAAGCAAAACTGTACTATTAGGTCACTTTCCATTTAAAAAACCTCAAAAGATGAAACATTAATAGTAAATACACATACATGTATGCATGGCATACACACACACAATTTGCACTAATATTTAAGTTTCGGAAATATTTAGTGCATATTGTAGAAGCAGGAGACCCTATACCCGTGATGTTGAACCTATGGCACGTGTGCCACAGGTGCCACACGGAGCCATATTGGTGGGCACATGAGCTCAGCTCTGGTGCGTATGCATGTGCTGGCCAACTGATTTTCAGGCCTTCTGGACCCAGAAATCAGGAAACAGGCTGTTTTTTGGCCTCTGGAGGGCCTCCGGGGGGAGGCCATTTTTGCCCTCCCCAGGATCCTAGAAAGGCTCTGGAGCCTGGCGAGAGCGAAAAATGGGCCCACTGTGCCATTGCGCACCAAAAGCAGGTGGAGCACCGACGAATGAGTGCAGAAGCACGCCGACAACAGCACGTCGACAGAAGCGCACTCTAAACCTAACCCCAAACCTAACCCTAACCCTAACCCTTACCCTAACTCTTACCTTAACCATAATCGCGCTTCTGTCGGCACTCTTGTCAATGCGCCTTTGTGGGCACGCTGTCGACGTCACGGTTTTATCGCCACGGTTTTGTCAGGCATGCTGTTGTTGGGCACGCATTTGTCGGGTCACGCAAAAAAGTTAGCTATCACTGCCCTATACTATGACTGTCCAGTTTCTTCTTGAAAACCTCCAGTGATAGAGCACATACAATTTACAATGTCATGATTGAATGTATTGTTTGATGTGGAAAAAGAGCTCTCATGTCAGCCTTCAAGGAATGCTTAATAACTTGTCAGCAGTAACTACAATAATAGTAATTTTGTCAAAATGTTGATACAACTAGACCAGCCTGACAGAACAATTTCAGTCATTGACCAATAAAAATATAATCAATAAAATAAACAACACAAAACTATCCCCTAATAAGAACTATTACCAACCATTTTTGGACAAAGCTTAGGCGTAGTATAGCAAATTTTTCTACTTTTGGAGAAATACATTTATCTTGGTTATTTAATAGGCAGTGCAAGTAAAAGCTGAGTGCCCTGGAAATTTAAATAAAAGGGGGGTAATCAACTATGTGTGAATGTCCCTTTGGAACTAACAATAAACAGAAGATGTGATGAATTCTACAGTACCCATATAGGGGAACAGAGGTCTCAAAGTGAATGGTTTGTTTCCTGTAATCAAAAGAATTTGCTAAAGTGACCAAAAAAGGCAACACAAAATGAAACTGGGCAAGGAAACTAAGCTGAGCAACATTAGTAAAGAAGTTTGAAACTCTGGAAAGATCACCAAGTCTTGACATCTGACAAATCCACCATATTTTGAAGAAGGCCCTTACATATGGGCAATTGGCTATATGCATCAATAGGGAAAATAATTAATAACATATTTAGTATAGTTGCAAAATCTAGGTATCGGTCTTATGTTTGGGTGGTACCATTACTCTAATATACATATGATGCAATTTAAACAAACAAAAAGTTCAAAAGTTGTATTTCCAAGCCAGTGGTGGGTTGCTAATCCTGTTCCAACTGGTTCGGTTGGAACAGGGCCGGCGGCGTCCTCGTGCATGCGCGCAGTTCACGCATGCATCTTAGCACCTGCGCGATGCTCCAGCTGCTCGCGGAGACTCGCGCAGGCGCTGTATGTGCCATCCAGCTGCTCGCGGAGTCTCACGCAGGCGCTGTATGTGCCATGCACCTGCGTGGAAGCGCAGAAGCCTTCAAGGACTGGTAAGGAGTGTAGGCAGGCGGGTGGGCTCTTCGCCGTTCCCGGAAGTTACTTACCTCCGGGTTCGCCAACCAACCGGTTCACAGGGACCGCCGCGAACCGGTTGAAACCCA